AGTGCACTTCCGCCAGTCATTAGGAGCTGTGCCAGTGGCCACATATTACCTAAGAGTTAGAGCTGTCGATAATAGTATGACCACTGTCGCTACATCGCCTAGCACTAGTTTCTCGGTTTCCTGCCAAGGTGAGCTCTTCACGGGCACGTTAGGGACTTTATTGTGCGACTATGCCCTCCTGTTCTTTAAAAACAAATTGATGAAAAAGATTCTTCTGTGAAATATGAGCTAATGGAAAAAGAAGAAATGAATTGTTTTGCAGCATACCTGTTTGGAATACAAGTTTTGAAACCAAAACGTTTTACAGCACCTCCATCTCCTGAAAATGTGCGTCTTGACCGAGTTTCGGACGAATATGTTCGCATCTCATGGACTTTCCCTAGTGAAGACCCCGCTTGTCAGACATTTTTCTTCATTACTGGTGTCCAGGTAAGGACTTGCAAAACCTTTTTTCCCCAAAATTATCTTTTCCTTTCAAGAATGGAGTTCCAATTAACGAAAGAGTCCCAGGAGCTGAGCGTAGTTACGATATTAAAGGTCCAGCTAGAGGAGATTGGCGTGTAGAGGTATAGTGACCCATACACACATTATCATCTATCAACTACATATTTTTGCTTTTAAGGTTCGAGCAGTAAATTCAGCAGGATCGGGACCATCATCACGGCAAGCTGTTTTTACCAGTGCCCAGCAATGTGAGTGTGAAAGGCAATGTGAGCACCAGAGTCGTAACTCCTCGACTTTTTTGTAAAAAAAAAGCACTGTTTTTCAAAACACTTGTACTTTCAAATATAATAATTGTAATATAATATAATAATTTCAAATAAGCACGATGTCCGCAGTAACGCAAATGTGACGTTCTGCCCGCTGCCCTCGGCACAAAATGTATCAATTCCAGTGGTAAAAGACGCGCCAAAGGCAGCAACCAGCACGCGTCGCGTGTTTGCGCTTAACCAAAACCGGCCGCGGGTCAGCTCTAGAAGAACAGACTAAAAACGGCTTTTGTTGTACATAAGATGTAATTGCAGACTATTGACCA